AAATTTGCCTCAACCGCCGTGAATTTGAAAAGTTTACAGATCTTTTGCAATAGATCTGCATCATATGGATTTTTTTCATATTCATGTTAATGCTTCAGATTCTCTGACATACTCGGAATTTCTAGAACCGTTTAAAAAGATATTCTTATAATACGACTTCATAATTAACAAGACGTCGATCTTTCCCACTTGATCTGCGTCTTCATCGACGTTCAAAAATGGATCTCAATTGGTAGAGTAAGTACATGTGCAGAACCAGGTGAGAATAGAGAGATCCGAGATTCAGAATTTTTTAAAATTTATTTTGTTTTTTTGAATTTCTTGTTAACTATTGATTAAACCGGTTTTCCCCGCGAGGATCAAGATGTTTCTAAAAGGTTGAGACTCATAAATGAACTAAGTATTGAGTTAATCAATAGAAATGACTCCATTGTAAAACAGACTGCATTCAGCTGTGTGGCAACGACTCGCCACTCAACAGAGAAAAAAATAATCGGCATTGTATTTCCCGTAGTTCAGGTGTCATAACTGGAAAAAAACAACTAAGCTACTTTGTCTTATTATCAGATTCGAGTAGAGAGAAAAGTGGATTGAATAATTCGATCCAACTCGACAACCTGTGTCATAATCTGTTGATGAATATTTCTGTTATTCAATTTCGACGATTTTTAACTCAAACAATCTCTAATGACATCAAACATAAGATTGTGTGTCGTATTCAAAATTTTGAGTTGGTTTTGAATCGATACAACCAAGCATAACTAGAAAATTCAATCAAACTAGTTTACTCGATGCTATTCGAAAAGGAAAGAAGACTAGCATCCATGACGAATATCCAAATAAGACAAGATATCGATTTTTCTCAATTCCAATGCAAATATGAAGTTTTTGAAGATATCAAAGTGATCAAAAACGGTCGCAACAGAGCTCGACTTTCGAACTTTTTAGTATGGTCACACGTAGACTGTTCGATCTGTTTTAGCTGATTTCAAGATTTGATGTATTTCCATTTTTGCTCGATCAGTTTCAATCTCAGAGCAAATTCTCATACAAGGGCTAAAGAACAAATCAATACAGATTCGAATTGTTTTTGGTACTTGGTGAAAATAGACGTGGACGAGAGATTTTTGAGTTTGTAACGCGCAAGTCGATTTTTTATACAAGCAATACAATCTACAATGTTCTTTCAAAAACTCTCCCTCTGAGTAAAAATTCGTGGTGAAAATGTCCATCATCTTTAATTATTGTCTTTTTAATATCATGTCACTGAAACATAGATGACGCTATAGTGCAAACATACCTAGGCGCGTATTTAAATTATTTATATAGAGAATTTATTTCTATATGGAATAACTCCCCTAAGAAGGCTATAGATGTGGGCTGAAGATAGGTAAAGAGAAGTTATATATTTACCCTCAGCCACCAAGCGTCTTTCATGATTTATTGAAAGAACATCTTTTGAGAGAGCATTGTAGAATGTGGTTTTCTTTGCCACACGTTTCCGCATTCTTATTCTTTCTTTTTTGTACTATGCTATTCAACCTCATTTGAATGAATAAAGGGATAATCTAGTGTTGGTATGAATAGTTCTATCGTTCTGACCATGGAATGAGAAGTCTAATAAAAACATCCTTGAAACGAGGTGGAAAATAATGACGTCATAGTCTTCTTCTCGCTGCTCCTTCGTGTCAACCGAAGACGCTCAAAAAGTTCTCTTTTTTCGAATGTTTCGTTTACTTAATCGTTTTCAGTGACTAATGAAAAAGAGAATTATTTCAATCTCTAGTGCGTATTTCTGAACCTCGAATGAAGACCTTTCTATTGAATACACACTGAAGAAAAATGACATTGATAAAATAAGAACCAGCAAATCAAATAAATCATAAGTCAAGGAAGAGACGAAGAAACAATACGAAAAAAAGCAAAATCACGACGGTGAGGAAGAAGTTGCAGCACAATAAAGATACGTGTTCTCATTGACATTGCTCACAGAATAATGAGAGAAAAATATTGTTGAACGTCTTAGTCTCAAGAAAGAACGAGCCAAAATCGAAAGACGAAAGACAAGAAAGTCATCTTCGGAAACTTCATTGAACTGGAAATCAGATTCTTACCATCACCTCATATGAAATGAATAAGAGATTTTTATTAGCACCTTTGACGCTTTTTTCTGGCTCATCAACATTAAGATCTCCGAAATTGATGTTGAATATTTCGTCATTAAGTACTAGCGATGATATTTCTCCAATAGATCTGAATCTCGTTCACTGTGACTTAATCGTAATAGATGATAAATCACTGATGGTGCATTGAATCAACAAAGATTTCATCTACTTTGACTTCAGTGTCTTAATAAATGAGAATTGATGCGGCAAGCACAAGATATTGGTTCGATATGTGTTATGCACTGAACAAAGAAGAAAAAAATCTCTCACGAATCTGATGTTGATCATGATCAATGGTTAATGCAATTTAATTAAAGATTTCTATTATCGAATGAATGAGAGATGGTAGAATGGTTTCTCTTGATAACACTAATGAACTGATATTCTCATTGAGTGTACAAGTCGATTTATGTAGATCTGTTGCTGTAGATGGGTGGGTGTGGGTGTGGGTGTGGGTGTGGGTGTGAGTGTGGGTGTGGGTGTGAGTGTGGGTGTGGGTGTGAGTGTGGGTGTGGGTGTGAGTGTGGGTGTGGGTGTGTGCGGGTGTGGGTCCGGTTGTGAGTGTGGGTGTGGGTGGGAGAGTGTAGAAGAAGACATTGGCACAGTCACCGACACCCACACCCATACCACACACCTGCACCCACACAGATATGCACCCCTACCCCCATCCGCACCGCAGACCAGCTCCAACACAGACATGCATGCCCTCCACCCACACCCACACCCGCACCCACACTCTCAAGCAAATGTTGTAATTAAGCATCGACTTAAAAATTAAAGTTAAGGTTACATATCTTAGAGTTTTAACTTTTGAGAAAATTAAGGTCAAAGTAGATATGTTGATGCTGTTCTTAAAAACTCATATTCGACTGCATATTAAGTTAAGGAAAGGGAAGCTACCTTCAGAAAAGACAAATTTTGGCACTCGAGCTTATCGGGTGGATTCTACAAATACCCATAATGGCTGAATATTAGAAAGCTATTCCACTGGACACAGATTTTTCAATCCATGAATATCCAAATCTTTTGCCTGTGAATAGATCTACTCGAGTTAGGCACGCACTCCAAAAATTAAAGTTTTATAAACTTGCCTATGGTAAATAGGTCATACGCATTTTTTTCATAGTAGCCCTATTGAATCATTTCATGTAAACTATGATTACAAGTATAAAACAACTGTTCAATGACATTTGTGAAACACGATCTGAAAGGAGTCTTAAAGTGTACATAAGCAGAAATTTGCCCCCCCCCCCCACACCCACACACCGTGACAGACTAGTAAACTGATAATTAACTAACTTTTCATTAGTGAATCATTCATAATCCATCAAAGACCGTGAGAGACGGACTCGAGAAATAGCACATCTTTTGACAATTTAATAAAGACTAATGATTATAGGTCATTAACATATCAATGGTCTGCTTACTGAGATTTCGCCTACTAAAAGCTAGAGATTAAATGATTCCGAAAATATATGGAATAAAGCAGATTTCCTATCCTCAGTAATAGCAAATACATCGTGTTTCACATTTTTAATGCCAATGGGATTGCACTAACAGCTTTTCATTCAGCGCCTAGCCTCTCTTCAGATCATGAAAGAAATCTTAATTAATTAATTAACTAATTACCGATCACAGATCGTGACAGATAGGATCTCGACCCATCAAAACAATAATCGAGGGTTTCAATGAACTATTAGAGAATCATACATAACTAACCTCTAATTAAAACGTGTCCGTGTAGCACTAATGGATGCTAAAATTTGGAACTCACCCCTTTCTGGATTTAATAAATTTAATGTATATGGCTAGATAGACTAAGGTAATTTCTTTTTAACAAATATCAAATAAATCAAAATTAAAACTATTTTCATAATTGATACTCGCGCTTTGAAATTTTCTCGTTTAAAAAAATGTTCGCATTGATATATATTTTTCTACCGGCTAATGTGATTTGTTCGACATTGCTGTACTAAACAAATTTGTATCTATTGTCTTATATATTTTGAATGTCTCATCTTTTCTCCTTATTATAGCCTCTATTTTTCCATGTTTCCCTAGTCTACCTTAGGTAGACTAATCATTTTATGACTTTACTGATTGACACCAAAATGAAATGCTTTTGCTACATTAATACTCATGTCACCCCATCCTCTCCCCTCCCATATTTAAAACAATTAGAATCTACAGGCTTCCAGAATGATCTATACACTATTATTACTTCTAATGTCTCGTTGCTATGGAAACGCATGAAAGAATATTTTATCTTGACACGTTCTGGTTACTAAGAAAATTATCCCAAAAATATAGATTTACCGCCACTTGCTTGTTGGTGCTTAGGGGAGGAGCCGCAAAACCTCATCATATAACTTACGCTCACTGTTTTCTTCGAAAATACGTGTGAGTTCCACAAAAAGTATATATTGAGAGTATTCTATTGTTGAAATTTTACGCTGTGAAGTAAGAAATGATAACCAAATACGATGGGCGTTCCTAGAATTTCGTTAATTAGACTCTATAACTTAGTTCCTAGTTTACAAGCGCGTGGATTGTATGATGCAAAAGATTGAGCAAAGTGTATTACCATCGACACAATACTCCTTCTATCGGAAATCGTCACAATCTAGTCGTACCGTTTTACTAGCGCTTGAAATAAATGTCAAGTGATCAATTTTATTCAACTGTTAGAGTAGTAAGTAATTTAGAATAATAAAATGAATACTTTGAGATAAGTTGATTGATTATGAGAGTAGCTATGAAGAGTGAAAAAAAAAAGTCAAAATCTTATGTAAAAAAAGGATTATCTAGAAACTTTTAAATGTTAATATATATTTCTTAGTCAATGATAACTTTTTCTGTTGTACATCGGCCAAAGTTTTCTGGCGAATACATTTCTTCAGCTTTGGTTGGCGGAACGATAAATATTCCAGCACAGGTTGCACGCATTACATAATTCCATTCATATACACCAGGCCATAATAATGATCGAAATGCTTCAGCACGTTCATCTCTTAAATTTTCATGTTCAGTCCAATCAATAGTTACACGTGATCGATATTCATCATAGTGATAATTCCTTTTTGACCTTGTTACTGATGAGTTTGTATCATCTGCCAAAATGCCTTTTAATTTTATATTCAATGGTTCACAACCAGCTGGTAAATAATCAACTAATGCTATATGATATCGTCGTTGTGTTGTTGTCATTGTTAATGTGACTCTGATTTTTTCATTTAATTTGAATTTCCAAGTTCCATCTGGCTGTTTTTGAACATGTGATAGATCATCGATAGCTGTATACATTCGTTCAATTTTAAAACCATAGTTAACTGCATTTAGTTGTAGACTTGATGGAGCATAATCCATTGCAATACGATAATATAATCGACCACTACCATGCTTATCCATCATTAGATTCTTATCATTGTTACTCATATTGATGGATGACGACGGCGACAAAATTGCTTTCATGGGAATATTTATTGTATATGAATTTGTCGTTCGACCTTTATATTAAGGATAGAAATCAGAATACATTATATATCTTGAAACCATCATATTAGATGTAGATATGTAGAAATATATAGATAGAAAACTATATTTCATTTTGATCTCAATTCTACGGATATGATAACAGATTGCTCATTTTTCTTTTGATTCCATCTTACCTTTATATTGATGTTGACCACAATAGTCATTGTCAAGCCAAATATTAGCAACAAAATCTGGTGTATCTTTTTCTTTCATATGAAAATATTTATCTAATGCAATTAATACATAACAATTTTCTTGTGTTGATTTCCATGCACCTTTCACTTTATGTGCTTGTAAACCTTTACACAGTTTAGTACAAAGAGTGGAGTTTGGATCAATATATAATAATGATTCTAACAGAATAGCATCTGTTCTTTGATTTGAATGTAACATTACCGATTGACCATCATCGCCATATGATGTGATAAAATTTGCTGTTTCACTCGTTTCGTTTACTTTACCTTTTAAATATTTGTATATTAGTTCAATTGTTTGTTGATTATTATGAATTATATCAGCAGATAAAGCAACTAATAACCATCCTAATGCTTCTAAAGTAAGTTTATCGAATCCACTTCGCTGAAATAATTCTAAAGCTTGGTCAGTCATATTTTGAAGAAATTTTGTTCGTACATATAATGCATAACTCATCAAACTGAATCGAGTTTTTTCCGACCAATACTTACTGTATGGTAATTGATCGATTTCAGATTCAATATTTTTAAGATATCTTAGCGTATTTTCCAGCATATCTTCATCAACATCAAATATCTTTAAAGTGATAGAACATATTTGACATTAAAAGTTTTAAGTAGAATTCTAAAATAAACTGAAATAAAACTCTCACCTTTTTATTCACAACAACAGCAAGACAATGTGCTGCATGTATACTCATATATGGATCAGCATGAAAATCATTTCGATTTGTCCAATAACCAAATCCACCATTTAGATACTGACGACCTTTTAATATATTTATATCGGATTGCAATTTAGTTTTCAATACTGATATATCAGGAAACTCTTTACAATGAAATGCTTGCAAAACATCCCATAATGATTGTATACCTAATAATCTTGAACTTAGTTGTTCTGTACATTCATACGGATATGTATAAAGTGAAATAATTGCATCAGTTAATGATGCTAATGCTGTTGAACTTGTTGTTATTGATAATTTACCGTATTGTGAAAGAACATTCTTTGGTGTCTTTATAGGTTGTAAAACAACTTCTTCGTATAGATCACCATATGTTGCAAATGCTTCAGACGTTGCTGGTGTAAATACGGGTAAACTTAGTTCAATTGCATCATCAAATGATGTACATGTTTTATTTTTCGGACTACTGATCATGAACTGACATCGAGCTGTACCAGAATGAATTGTTGTTATTGGAAATGTAAGAGCAGCTCGTTTATTTGGTGGTAGTACAATTGAATAACCAACTCCAGGTTGATTTGTTTGTGCTGTTAATAATTTAGCATTGGTTACTCTCAAACCAGCATGTAATAGTAATGATAGATTGGTTTGATTTTGCAAAACAACTAAGAAATTCGCCGTATCTCCATAGTTCAGAAATCTTGGTAGTGAAGGTCGAATCATAACTGGTAGTTGTACAGTAAATGACATTTCATCTAAACCATATTGCTTATCATTCGTTGCCAACGCCCATACACGATAGCGTGTTAGATTATCAGGTAATTTAACTTCGATTGAAACATGGCCTGATGAATCAGTGATTGATGAGGGTGTCCAACATGCTAGTGGATTGAAGTTCGACCGAACAGCTATTTTTTGCTCAGCTCCACGACCGGTTGACTTCATCTTACGGCACCATGGACCATCACCGCCGCCACCACCACCACCACCGCCGCCGCCGCACTCAGAATCTGAGTACAGCCTTTCTTTTATCTTTTTCTTCAGTTGTTCTATATATTGTGAATTGAATAGTAAACACTCATTTCTACTGTGGTAATCTCTGATATTTTCTGATCGAGTAGGATAAAATATATCTAATAGACTATTTAGTTTGTGATTAGTTAATGATAAGATTGCTTCATCAACAACAATTAAGCAAACTTCTGCTTTTTTTACAGGTATGTTATCTATATATTGTTTGACGTCGACATCTATGTGAATGATCGATGATGGTGCATACATTTTATTTGGTTCTTTTGTATTAATCGAAACATTTAATTTATAAATATCTCTTGATATTTCTAGTGATACTGAACCAGTAGCGATTGCTGGGCGATGTGGTGAGTTGGTCATTTCAATTTCTCTTGGGATTGAGCCAATTAGTTCAGCGTGAACCCTGACGTTGGGTATCCAATCTTTTGATATATTAAATTTGACAGTTGTTAAATCTGGTCCAGATTCTATCTGAAATCGTATTAGTTGTGAGATTTGACCGTCACAATCGAATATAAGCGCACCATTAGCTGGACTAAACGGGGCTAGGATTAGTAATTCACATTGGTCATCAGGTTGATAACTTTTTGCATTCGGAATAATTGCCACTGAATCAGTTGGAATGTAATTATTTACTTCCTGTTCTTCTCGTTCTTTTTTGTTACCACCATAGACATAAAAATTGTCATAGTAACTCATAGCTAATCGCCCTTGTTCATCTTTGACACTGTAAGATATATTGTATCTACCCCCTAGGATCAAACAGAATTTATATGATTTTATTAAAAAAGAAATCCATCAATCATTTCTTTAATTGAGAATCACATTAAGTTTGTCCTTAATTTTTGGTACACAAGTACTTTCTTTATAGTTGCTTGACAGTTTTCTTTTAGTGTATCGGTTCATTTCTTTTCTCTTTAACTAGAATAAGAAGAGTATTAAAATGGGTTAAATTCTAAGGACATGCATTTTGATAAATCAAGACAGCGAAAAAACTATCTCGTATATGAAAAATGGGAAAGCGAAAATTGGTCGAACGAAAAATGGTCGAACGAAAATTGGCCGCCGAAAATTGGTCGCTACGAAAATTCGTCGCTACGAAAATTGGTCGTTACGAAAATTAGTCGCTACGAAAATTGGTCGATACGATAATTGGTCGAGACATTACTAATAAGATTACAAACTAATTTGTGTCGATAAACAACATTGATTCTCTCTATCAAGTTAAAAATTAAAATAAACACGAACTATATTGATGAAATTATGTAACAGAAAAACAATCATTAACAATGCTCGAAGTAGACATACATAAACAAAAATTCCTAGATTATAATAATGTCTCTAATTGTTGTAGAATCAGCGGCAGCAGGTGTGTAACTAATTGATGTGTACGTTGGTAGAGGTGAACGAATGGATTTCTTAATTTCTTTGATTTTTGGGGATTTTTATCAGTGAAAGCTGGTCATTTTTTATGGGTCGAAGACGAGGAGAAACCATTGAAAATTTTTAGAACTTACGGAAAAACTAGAAGAAATTCACAGCAGCCACCAAGACTTTTTTTTGGGATTTATTGAATTTTTTAAATAAATCCGTATGTAATTTTTGGATAAATCTCATACAGTATCCTATTATACGCACACATACCTGCAGTGCGGGTGCGCTGAAATATTGACACTATTTAGTGCATACCTACGTCTGCACAGTGGGGGCTGCACCGAAATACTGATACACATTCAACAATTTTAATAAATATTCATAGAATAAATCTTTCAGAAGAAGTACGTCCGAAAAAAATAAGTTCTGATATGCCCTAAAAATCCACAGTGATCTCTAAGAATACAGAAAACTTCTTAAATGAATAAAATCACTAAAAATCATTAGGCTTTGATGGAAAAATGAGCTTCATTTTTACCCGGTGACTAATGCTTTTGATTGTTAAACTTATTCGTCGAACGAATAGCTTTATTTTGAAGCATTCTATTCATTTAATTACAAAATAGTCAACTATTTTTGATAGCGACTAATTTTCGTAGCGACCAATTATCCGCGACCAATTTTCGTTCGACCATTTTTCGTTCGACCAATTTTCGTAGACCCGCTTTTTCAATTTGTGCTGCATGTTCATTTAGGCTGCATGTTGAATGAATGTTCTTTAGATTGTCTTCTAACTTTGCTTGATATGATTGCATTCTTGTTTGGTTTTCAAGTTGGCTCATGTCAAATCGTTGGTTGTGTCGCGGCTTGTTGTGTAGTATTTTCAGTCTTAATTTGATGCTACACAGCACTAAGG